CTCTCAGAAGGCCCACGCGAAGGCAAGCCCGGCAGCCTCGGCACGCCCCTCCCGAGATAGGAAGAAAGGATAGACGGTGAAAAAGTGCCACGTCGGCAGAATGGTCCAGGAATAAGGTCAAAAATTGCGTTTGGCAAGGGAAAGGACAAGCGAAGAAAGAAAGAAGAATGAAAGAACGGAATATAGAAAAGTGTACGGAAAGAGACACAGAGGGAAAGAGGAGCAGGAATAACAGAAGAGGCAATAATGGGCTAATGAGGAGAAGAAGTAGAGGAAAGGAAGAAGAGGAAAAGGAGAAGACAGGAGGGAGAGCAGGAGAAGTGAGAGAGGGGGAGGAGAAACGGGGGAAGGGGGAAAAGGGAGGGGGAAGAAAGGTATGAAGGGAAGGATGGAGAAGGCGAAACAGGAGGAGGGTGCGAAAGAGAGTGTTGATGACGTAAGTAGGAGAATGCGTGGAGCATGTGGAGAATCGATCGTAGAGAGTGTGGATCTGTGTAGAGAATGGTTGAGTGTGTGAGGTGTGGTGAATTGTGGGAGAAGGATGTGATGTAGTAGCAGAGAGAAGAGTGGTGAGGCGTGGAGTGAGTGGTGAACAGGCGGAGCCAGTAGTAACGGGTGCAGCGAGTGCAGCGAGTGTTGAGGGCGAAGCTGGTAGTGAGGCGTATGAGGGGATGGGAGAGGATTAGGTAGTAGGATGGAGAGCAGAGGTCTTGAGCGAGTGTGGAAGCGGAGATGGTGAGCAGAAACAGGGTGAGAGGGAGTGAGATGAAGTGGGGGAGGGGGTGTAGGAGTGTATGGAGTGTTTGCGAGTGTGGTGCGAGTGTGAGCGGAGTGTTGAGCGAGTGTGTGTAAGTGTAGGGGATGGGGACGGAACGGACACGGGAATTGGAAAAACGCGGCTGATATATCTCACCTCCTAATTCATCCGCAAACAAGTGAGAACGAGTTGTTGTTTGTCGTGTGAGTTGTGAATATCAAGTTCCTCCCCTCCATAGAGACCTTAGGAAGAGTTTATGGTGTAAATTGGCTAGCTAGCCCAGAATTAAATTTCAATGAACTCATTACATTGTATACCACCACAAACGTGATGGCGTACGTTCACTAACATGGGCGCCCGACTACAATGCTGTTGTAACCCAAACCACCAACGAGACAATCTAGCAAGATTGTGTGTGCTTAAAATGTCGATGGACAGAATCTCCAAGCTATATGTTTGTGCTGCATGACTTTACATATGCATATGACATTCCTCTTTGGCTCTAGATAATTTTGTTGTGCTAAAATTAGAAATAAAATGTTAGCTGCAATTACATATGCATATGACATTCTGTAAATTTTTCACTATTCTGCATATCCTTGATGAAACTATGAGAGCAGTATTAATCAATGTAAAAGTGCCAAAGTTAGCTCCAGAATGCTTTGAAAAGACCTTTGTGTGATATAGATCCATCCCCTCCCACAGCTTATGGTCTCATACCTTTGGTACTTGGCACCTTCTTACTACATATTTACCCCATCCCCCCTTTAATTTTGAAGCATCCCAGATCTGCCTTTGTGGATGTGGAGAGCGTGTTGTGAGGGGCGTGTAGTGTAGGGGCGTGTAGTTGAGGGCGCGTGTAGTGGGGCGTGAGTGTGAGGGCGCGTGTAGTGTGAGGGGTAGTGTGAGGGGCGGTAGTGTGAGGGGCGTGTAGTGTGAGGGGCGTGTAGTGTGAGGGGCGTGTAGTGTGAGGGGCGTGTAGTGTGAGGGGCGTGTAGTGTGAGGGGCGTGTAGTTGAGAGTGGGGCGTTAGTGTGAGGGGCGTTGTAGTGTGAGGGGCGTGTAGTGTGAGGGTGCGTTGTAGTGTGAGGGGCGTGTGAGGGCGTGTAGTGTGAGGGGCGTGTAGTGTGAGGGGCGTGTAGTGTGAGGGGCGTGTAGTGTGTAGGGGCGTGTAGTGTGAGGGCGTGTAGTGTGTGAGGGGCGTGTAGTGTGAGGGGCGTGTAGTGTGAGTGTTGTGTGTGTGTGTGTGTGTGTGTGTGTGTGTGTGTGTGTGTGTGTGTGTGTGTGTGTGTGTGTGTGTGTGTGTGTATTGTATTATGTTTGTGTATGTATAGGCATGCACTTGCAGGCTTATATTCTTATAGGTGTGATCTTGTCCATAATTGTATGCATGTTTGACTTGCATGTAGGTGTACATTCTATTAATCTAATTCTTTAGAGTCGGTTTCAATACATTTAATAGCATTTTATAGGATATTCCACAGAATCCCATAGGATATTCATCAATATGAATTAGGTTTTGATAGAGTACTTGTGTCATACCTCCTAGCAATTACCCAAAATTTACATGATGAATATAGACTACCAAAGACTATATGAATGTGGTTGAGTCTTTTTTAGAAATGGTGTTCATCTTTTAACGGTAGATAAATATTTATTTGTATAAACTAGTATGTATTTTCTCAGATTTCAAAATTATTTATTTATTTTTTGTCTTGGTCTTTAACCCATTTTTACTGGATATATGTGCTGTCCACTTTAGTTTTGTTTTTTCAGATTTTGTTTACATTTAGGCAGCTTCAAAAGTATAGAGTTACCAAGGAGTCACTTGCTGGGCTCCAATGTATACCATATTCTTTGAATTTCCAGAGTAGAAAGTATTTATTTTTGATATTATCATTGTTATTAATGTTATTATTTTTAAAATTGACATTATTATGATTATTCTATTAACAATATTAGTTTCTTTTCCCCACAAAATAATCGAGAAATATTCTCAACAGATAAAAGTCAGGTATGCTTAGTGGTCATCCATAATTTTCATCATTATCACAAGCCTATAAAGCACAGACTTTTGAGTGACACCCTCCCCCCTCTAAAAGTGTATGATAGAGGACGAAAAATGATGCATTAAGATCTCTCTATCTATATGCGGATTCTTATTTTGTGATTCTAAGAAAAATAAATGAATTCAAAATAAGACCATGTCTTGTTATATTACTCTTTCACTGTATGAAAATCAAAAGATTGATGACAGGATAATACAAAGAGCCTACAGAATTTTTCTCCCTAGGCTGTATTTTTTTCTTTTTTACTATAGATGGTTTGATGTAAATGAAGTGTTAAAAGAAATATAGAAAAATTTTCCAATGATCAGATAAACATAAAATTTTTAGATAAATCAAGTTTACAGGTTCAATGTTACATTATTTCAAGTTATACATCTAATACATTTTCTATAAAGAGATGCAGGTGCATTTTATGTTGTTGAATATTGTTAAAATATTGGCACAATATTGGCTAGATAATGTATTGTATATTGTTTTATACAGTGCAATAAACAAGAAACAGGGAATCTCATTATTATCATACTCAGGGCTGTAAGTGGCCAGCCCTGATAACAACACTGGCATGGTGTGAAATTTGAAACATGGTGGCCACTGATTTACCCATTGTTGGATCATCCTTTTTTACATTAAAAAGATTGTATGCCTGGTCTTAACTCCCTCTCCCCTGGGTATGGTTTGTACACACATGACAATGATGAAAATTATGGATGACCCCTTAGTGATTGAAGCCTTGAGGACTAGCACTTCTGAAGCCATCTTTGTTTTGATAAAGATAATAAACAAAGATCACAATGGAAAGAGCATGTACATAAATACATACTCTTCCTAGCATCAACAGGTTACATGACAGTTGTCATTTTTGGGTAGCTAGGTTTAGTGACTGAAGATATTTGAAAGTACATATTTTAAAATCAGAATCCTCTTTAGACTCAGATTCTCTTTTCTATAACCCCCCCCCCCTCCCCTTTCACTCGAGTCAGGCCTCCTTCCCTCAACCCCTTCTCTTTTCAGTGTCATGCCAAAACTGTTAATGAGAGGACTTTCTACCTCCTAGGATTAAGAACGTGTCTCTGGCTGGCTGTGGCTTCCTAGCATTATACCTGTTAGGTGCGATCAAATGCTTGTTGACTGTCTGTCCCCATGTCCTGAAGGAGACTCTTATTTCGGGAGCATCTGCGGGAGCCCTGATTGGCTCAGCACTTATCTGTCAGGTACCTATTGATGATGTGAGATATCAGTTCCTGAATGCAGCTGTTGAGTCCAGAAAATGGGCAATGGGGCCTTTCAGTCCTGGGTTCAAGTTTGAGGATTACCTTAGGGCAGGCATTGAACTGTTACCTCCTGATGCCCACCTGAGGGCCAATGGGCGGCTCTTTGTGTCACTGACAAGAGTCCGTGACATGTCTAATGTGATTATATCTGAGTGGGATTCGCGTGAAGACCTTGTTCAAACACTAAGATGTGCTTGCTACATCCTGGGGGCATCAGGGATGGTTCCACCCACCCTACGTGGAGAATGGTTCATTGATGGGGGATACAGCAATAGGCAACCTGTGGTCAGCAAAGAGGCTCTTACCATCAGTCCCTACGCGGGTGATGCAGACATATGCCCAGATGAAGAACCAACACGCAGGAAGGTGAGCTGGGCCAACCACACAGTCAATATGTCCTATAGCAACACATTGCGCTTGTACCAATCCCTGATGCCCCCTGAACCCCATATCCTCAACCAGTACCATGCTCAAGGTTACAGAGATACATGGCGTTACTTACAAAGAATGAAATCAAAGCTGAGAAGTAATTGAACAAGACTTTGTTTTTTGTATTCATTTGAAAAATGTTACATGGTTATTCTGGAGGAATTGATACTAAAAACATTTGCTTTGTGAAGTGAGAGATTGTAGATATGTAGACAGTTAACCCTTTATTTATTTTATTTATTATTATTGTTGTTTGTGAGAGTTGAAAACAACATACTGCATATGAACATGTCAGTGTTTGTCAGGATTCTTTTATTTCTTTAATTCTCTACTTTTACAGTTATATATTTATATGCATAAGTATATTATATATCTAATCAAAAGTCTATGTATCTTTTTAATTTTTTTTAGAATTACTGTGATATTTGCATCATTACATTTTGTATAGCTGAATTGTGTTTGCAATGTATTCTAGGGAAGTAAGCGTGGCCCTATCTGGATCAGGGTTCCTGGCTTTGTATGAGGTTGGTGCCTTGCAGTGCCTGCAGAAGCAATGGCCTCGGTTGCTGCAGACAGCAAAGGTTTCTGGCGCATCGGCTGGCTCCCTTTTGGCAGCGTGTGTAGTGTGTGATGTCCCTCTTGACTTTGTGAAGGGCAACTTCTTGGAGACAGCCAAGGAAGCCCAGAGGTGGAAACTGGGCCCCTTCAGTCCCAAGTTCAATGTTTCTGATTATCTCAACCAGGGATTTGAAGCCCTGCCCCCTGATGCCCACCTGCGGGCTAACAACAGACTCTTTGTCTCACTCACAAGAATCAAGGATGGCCAGAATGTCATAATCTCAAACTGGACTTCACGAGAGGAGTTGATCCAGTGCCTCCTCTGCTCTTGTTTTATCCCCATCTTCTCTGGCTTTCGGTTCCCTTCATTTCGTGGAGAGAGGTACATGGATGGAGGCTTCACCAACAACCTCCCAATCCCATGCCAGCCATGCATATCCATTGGCCCATTTGAGGGGAAGATTGACATCTGCCCCAGGACCAAGAAGCAAAACTCCCCTTACCTGACCATTGCTAATGAGACGGTGGCCGTAAATGCCACCAACATCCTTAGGTTTGTACAGTCCCTAAAGCCTCCTCCCATTGAAATCTTAGAAGATGTCTATCAGGAGGGCTACTGGGATGCTTACTCCTTTCTAAAAGCAAAAACAAGTCAAAAGACAGGCCCTTTGTCTGCATGAGCTTAAATGCTTGTGTTCAGTGTGAAAGAGATGAATGTTTATATAGCATGGCTGAGGGCAGTGATGGAATGGGTGTTGGTGTCTACTTTTGCATTTTAATTTGTATGGACAATGATATTAATAACCTAGACGGCAATCTAAGGATTGAGTTTTTTAAAAGTATTTTGCATATTTACTCTAAAATATAAGTATTATATTGTATTATCTGTGTTAAGGAAATTTTATCATTAAGATCTGAAAATAACCCAGGTTTTATAGAGTATTGTTATGCACACCCATGCACATGTACTTGCACAATTATGAAGATACACACATGCACATGCACACGTGCACATTCATGTGTGTATGCACAAGTGCATGCACACATACACATACATGCGCGCGTTTGCACGTGCGCACGCACACACACACACACACACACATATACACACACATATACACACACATATACACACACACACACATATACACACATATACACATATACACACACATATACACACACATATACACACACATATACACACACATATACACACACATATACACACACATATACACACACATATACACACACATATACACACACATATACACACACATATACACACACATATACACACACATATACACACACATATACACACACACACACACACACACACACACACACACACACACACACACACACACACACACACACACACACACACACACACACACACACACACACACACACACACACACACACACACACACACACACACACACACACACGCAAAAGATCAAACACAAGGACATGGACTGACAGATTCAAGAAACAATTTTTTTTTTTGTTAGATTAAGGAAAATTTTCATTATATAGACAATAACAGTTATACAGATTAAGAAACATCTTCATTATATAGACAAAAACAGTCAAACAGATTAAGGGACTTCATTATATAGACAATAACAGTAATACAGATTAAGGAACATCTTTATTATATAGACAATAACAGTCATATAGATTAAGGAACATTTTCATTGTATAAATAATGCCAGCTATACAACTGTACTTTGTTTTGTAAGAATTCCCTTGGTAATGTGCCATTTCTAGAATGATTGTGAAATTATGTTACTGTTGATATTTATACTGTTTTTGAGATGAAATATATACTTTTAAGATCAAAATCAACTTTCATATCCAACTGTATTAAAAAAAAAGGGTTACTTGCAAGTAATTTATGAAATAAAACAAATATTCCCTTGTTGATTACGATTATCTTTATGATGATCTTTCATTGGTATTCTCTGACCACCTTTTTTTTGGTTTATTATACAAAAAAAGAAAAAGAAATGTATAGCTCTCTTTCATATTTTTCTTTATGATCATTACTCATTACATCAATGGCAGTGGGTGTTTATTACAACAGATTATCTTTCTATGATATTTAGAATTGAAGTTGATATAGTTAACATGCTTTAGATTTATGGTTTAAGTGGAATGGGAAAATGTGTACGCAATGGCTAACTTTCTATATATGAATGCTAGTTGACAAACACTAATATACTGATTGAATTTGAAGAAATTGCTTTGCTTGAGTGAGGAGATGGAATAATTATTAATTATTGAATTGTTAGAGATAAGGAAGACAGACCAGATTGAAATTATTTAAAATTTATGTATTATTAGGATAAATTTTATTATTGTTATTATTATTATTATTATTATTATTATTATTATTATTATTATTA